ACTGGAAGAACATTTATAGCCCGAATAAAGGACTACAGAAATAATTTCCACATATGCCACTCATTTAATCATAGAAGGACATGAGTTCAACCATGAATTTCCAGCTCCTCCATTTCCAGAATTCGATATTACTGTATACTATGGTGATTATACGAGTGAAAGTAGGATATTTAAAACAAATCAAAACTATTATCAACTCTGTAAGAGGGTTAGAATATAATCGAAAAATCGATATTAGGGAAACTAAATTTGATTTGAATATACAAGGCAAATGGATGAAAAAATCAAAACGAAGAAGAAAACTAATAAAGAAGTGAGTATAACAAATTGAAGGCAATGGAAAGGTGTATGAACTGAATTGGTTGATTAGTGCTAGAATCAATAGTGATTTAAGAGGGAAGAGATTTCTGCTTCTCAGATCATGTGGGGTTGTTTATTGTTTTTTCATATAATATAAGATTTGGCGACTTAGAATGAACTTTTCTATTTGTAATTTCAAAAGAGGGGTTCCGTTGACTATTTAAAGTCTTGCACACTGTGGAAGTATATTCAAGAAATTAAAAAAATACCTTATATGTAACGAGATATGATGTAGCAATTAATAACTTTGTATTTTTCTACTTGGAATACTTTCAATTATTTGGATTGAATAATTGTTAGGCTTATTTGAAAAAAATATCTGTATAAGAAGTACTAAAAGTTATGTCAAAGATTATGTCTTTAATGTATTTCCTATTCGAGAGAATTTTTGGTGATGTAGTTTTTAAAAAATAAGTAAAATATTCGTTCTAGGTGAATTAAAAACAATTTCTTATTGTTTTTCAAATTAAACAACCTGTCTCATTTTACATATGATTTCTTTTCGAAGTGCTTTTCTAAAAATATTGGATTGTCTGTGTGAATACATTCGGAGTTCTACCGTAAATAACACATAAAAACAATTTTCCAATATTATCAATACAGATTTCTGTTCTTAGAAAAAGGTTTTGAATGATGAAGTTTTTTCAGTGTGAAAGATTAATTCGACCTTATAATTTTATAGCAAAGCAATTAAATGTTTCAGCATTGATACTGAATAAAACTAGTGAGTTTCTATGTAGATCATTTTTCCACATTCAATAATTTAATTGTTTTTGGGTTCAGACTAGTTGCATTATCAAAATGTCATTACTAACATCACTTCTTTCAAAATTTCCAATGGCCATCTAAAGATATAATAATTTGATTGGAATTTATATCAACCACAAATTTTGATTATATTTTTTGCAATATTGAAAATAACATATTTTTTACTGTATTTCTGTTATAATCAACTAGTCGCTTATAATATTCTGTTAAATGTCCATATTTTCGACAACTGCTTTTCGAGAGGAGTTCACATGTGCAAAAATATTTCAGGTGTTCAATTAAATAAAAATCATTTTTTAGTTTCAATGCGGTGATAAAACATTTTTGAAGTGAATTGAAAGGGTTATATTTTTAGGAGTGACTAATTTTTGTGAAAGAAAGTTTTTGGAAGATTCCCAATGTTTTTTTGTATCAAGATGGAGTAGTAGAAAGCCAAAAACTTTCTTTCCCCAAAATTTTTGAAATATTCCCATTAAAGGTTATACTCTTCAACTGATTTCTACCATCGTGAATAGGACGATTGAATATATCGATTTTTTGACATATTTTTGGCATAACTGTTGAACTACTCGGTATATACTCTACCTATTACTTATACCCATACCTATTTTCGAAAATACTTTTCTGATGGATTGCAATATATGACATTTTATTTAAAAAACCTAATTTTGATAGTCAACACTTCTACTCGTTATCCTGTACATTGGCAAACAATTTGTAAAAGCCAATGCATTGATATGAAACTTTCATATAGAACATTTTTTGATGAACTCGCCTTCTCACCTAAACCATTTAATTGGAACCTTGAAGTGACACAAATATTTCATATTCAGTTATCACTCACCTAAATGGCGACAAAATATGAAAAGTATTTTGGAGGTATCGGAAAAAAGCAATTTGATAAAAAATAAATCTCTGTGACAAAAATGTGCTCGTGGTTAATTCTTTTTTTTTTGAGAGGAATAAATCTGACTAAACTTGTTGATTTTTCACATTTATAAAACACATTCATTCATTCTAGCAACAATCATCAAAATGAAACTAAAGCCACACACCTAAGACCCAATCCTAAAATTGTCGAAGATAATGCGGAAACCGAGTTTTTCACCCCAATCGGAAAGTTTTCAATTCGCTAAATTAGTACATTCTGTTACTCCTAATTCCGGAATCCCACATTGCCAATAAATCCCGAGCAACGACACGAGAATAGAGTCCTTAAACCAACTCCGAGAAGCCGAAAAGAAAATTTAAACGCATCATTAAATTTTCCGACCCGATTTTTCAGTTCACCGCCGCTCTGCAAGATCCAGACATAAAGGAACTTTGAAGTCAGATTCGAGTAATTGATCGCTCTAGTAGGCTAAATGAGATGGGACGGAAGAGCATACATCATTACTTAAGGCAATAATAATATTATGAGAAAAATATATGCGGAATGTGGAAAATTAACTCCGGAAAAAGGGTGAGTGGATTCAAGTGGAGGTAGCGAAAAGTAAATTACCATCTTTGAAGGTCTCCAGGATGAATGGAAGCTTTTTTATTTTGAATGATAAATTTGAAGTCTTAGTGGTCGTTATGATTTTCTTGAACATATAAACAAGATACAGTATCTTCTTCGAGGTTACAAGTCATAGAATATCAGAGCCTAGACTCGCGCAAGATTATTTTCCTACTCTATCCAAAAGATGGAAAATGGAGGGTAGAAAGTAAAATGCTTTTACCACCGGAGTCACGATTAAAGAGAAAAAAATCCGGGCTGGTACTAACCGTTTCGTTTGACTAAGGCAGAACTGAAAGTGATTCGATCGATTGCTTAAAGATATGTGAATAGGCAACAATTCTTGGTCTATTCGAGAAAACTCGTAACCAGTCAAGGAGACGTTGGAGCAGATCCAACTAATTTTTCAGGGCTCACAGCTATTTTCGACGTAAATATTTCCAATGTAGTTTCTGTAGGTAAACAAATGAATGGAGTCGTTAAGGGAAGTCCTTTCAGCCCTGCCGTTACAAATTTCTACATGGAAGTAGTGGTTTTACTATATTGATGTCACCTTTGTTATTTGAATTTACGGGCAATATGCATTTCAACAGTCTACGCCACATCAACTCCAGTCATCTTCGAGTCCAGTTTACTATGGAAAGGGAAAACGAAGGAAATATACCATTTTTGGGTGTGCTGGCCTACAGAAAAATGACGAAAACTAGGTCATACTGTTTATCGCAAATCTACTTATAATGATGGGTATATTAACGAACACGCAAACCACCATCCAGTGCAAAAACTTGCTACGATGCCCTTATCATCAGGATTTGTGTGCCAAATTTTTTGAAGAAAAATATCGTATCTAGACTAAGTTCTACAGATCAATGGGTTTACACTGCAAGAAATTAATGCTGCTCTACATCCTATAACAAGAAATACTTCGATCCAGCCGCCAGTGGATGGTACAGTCTATTTGCCTTACATGAACAAAGTCACGGTCGGTCCGCATTGGAAAACTGTTCAAACATCACATCATAAGGAACATTCACTATAGATCGGCGAAGGACAAAAGTGAGCCTGTTTTTGTGGCCTAGTTTACTTTGGAACTACTAAATGCACAGTCAACACCAGGATATTCGGTGGCAGGTGCATGAGGTATGCGGGTCAATGGAACGTGGTATCCAGTACTCAAGAAATCCCGAAATTGATCAGAATACAATTTCGATCGACATCCTTTCAGCAACGTACGTGGACCAAATAGAACAATCGAGTAACAGAAAGACTCAGAAAGACTCAACAAAAGTATGGACCAATGAGGAGTGAGCATTCCAATGGACACAACCCCTACCATCATCCCCACCATCACCCTACCAATATCTGGAATTATAAATACGAGTGAACACGTAAGCCACTCGCCAGTCAGTCGATGCCACGACTTCGAGGTATAACCTTCTTCCCCGCAGTCAACGCATATACCACTGATGATGTCTGTCACAGCAGCAGAAGAAACATTTGTAACTTTCGGTCCATTTCGATCACGGCCTACTAGCCCGGATTTTCTTCTCTTCAATACTAAAACGCTTGTATTGAAAAATCTTGTCTTCATCTCTTTTCGGTGCAGAGTGGACCCCTGTGAGTTTCTGTAGAACTGAACAAAATGATATAGGATTGACTGTAAATAATTAGGGCAGAATGATGGTTGGCGAACTATAAAAAGCAAAATTTGTGTCAGATGTCAATCTTGCTGAAGTGCCCATCAGTAAGTTGAGGACCGCTCGGGGAGCGGGGGTGGATGGAATGGGGTAGTAGGTTCTCCTCGCTAAATAGTTGGGGGGGGGAAGCTTCTACTTCAGGGCACTCAACCCGGGAGATGGCATGGGGGGGCCACTCGCCAGTCAGTCGATGCCACGATTTCGTGGTATAACCTTCTTCCCCGCAATCAACGCACATACCACTGATGATTTATGTCACAGCAGCATTTGTAACTTTCGGTCCATTTCGATCACAGCCTACTAGCCCGGATTTTCTTTTCTTCAATACTAAAACGTTTATATTGAAAAATTTTGTCTTCATCTCTTTTCGGTGCAGAGTGGACACCTGTAAGTTTCTGTAGAACTGAACAAGATGATATATGATTGACTGTGAATAATTAGGGCAAAACGATGGTTGGCGAACTATAAAAAGCAAAATTTGTATGTGATAAAGAGTGAACTGTCTCTTCGTTTTTATTCGCTCACTCTATATATAAAAGTATATTATATTTATTATTCTAGTACAATGTCTGGTAAAAAAACTGTCGAGCAAAAAAAAAGAATTAAAAGCAGGATAGAGTGCAAACCTTCGACAATTGCGTGAATATGAAAATCCATACAGAAAGAATAACACTCACCGCATTCGAATGCGTCTGGTCCGTTTTGAGTTCTTTGTGATTCGAATATTGAACGTACACTGCCCGTCCTCTCAATTGGGCTATGCATGTGGAAAAATAGTTGACCATCGTGGTGGCAGATTGTTCGTCGCCCATTTCGAGGAAGGCTTGATTTTTTCCTTTCAACACCAAGACGTTCGTCACTCTGCCGAAAGGCAAACCGAGGTGGATGATTTCCGCTTCCGAAACGTCGGTCGGAATGTTTCTGATATGGATTACCCGGGAGGGTTTGCCCACGCTTTGCTCCATTTTTAGCTGAAAATGAGAATTGAAATAGTTTATTGACCGTTTGAAAGCTCAATAAAAAAGAGAAATATTGTTACGCTCTTAGCAATGTTGAAAACATGGTGGGTGAACGATCCACCAATGTATTAACTGGACCAAGATTGTATTCATCGGGGATGATTCACCATGTAGGAATTCAAAATAATGTACACTGACGGAAGAGTCGAGAACAGATTATGCGCTGAAGCCGATTGAAAGAAATCCTTCCAAGCGGTGAGAGAATATTCCGAAGAATGTTGACGAAAATTTATATATTGCAAAAAAGTATAGAGCCTTTTAATAAACGTTGTATAAGTGAAAATACATATATTCTTCTTAGAGGCGATCTGAAAGACTAATATTCATCAGTTCGGACTTCCATTGTCTAATACATATAATATAAATTGATTTGATATCATAGATGAAAAATCAATAGACGGTGTGCTTAAGCTGTACTCAGAGCATATTGTAAAAATAAGGTGAATTTTAATTTTTCCCAAAATATATTTCGGCCAAAAAATTACGAACAAGCAATGACGACGTTTTCTTCGTATTGCTTCTCGCAAGACGCTCATAAATTAAGATAATACTCCTTATTATACCACCGTGTGGCAAGAACTCCTGGTAATAAAAAACAACCCCCATTTCAAATGGAAATAATAGTCTAGTGATACCTCATTTGAAAATAGGTTCGTACACTTCAAGTACGGATTGAAATAGTGAGTTTCTAGTACGAACATGGAAAATATGCTACTTGTACTTTGCAACCACATTCATCCAGGCAGAAATGTAAGTCATAAATATGTATTGAAATTGTTATATACATTCATGAAAACTGGTAAATTCAATAACAAACAGACAACATGACCGTTCAGGAATAGTCAATAATGAAGGCACTTATTAGTTCTAGGTTTATCTGAACGGTCAAGTTATCCGCCAACATTTCCGATACTTGGGTAGATCAAATATCAATGAGATATGCTGAATTCACACCTTATATCCCCAAAAATTAAATGTTTGGGCAGGAACTTTGAGTAACCATATGATAGGATTATTATTTTTGGAAGAAAACTGAATGATGAAGAATATTTCGAATTGCTGAATAATCAAGTTGAGCCAAGCAGTACATTAGCTGAGCTTGAATTATTCTACAAAAATTATTGAAAACTTTTATAGTTCATTTTATTAAATTTTAATGTTAGTACAAAAATAATACTCTGTAAATTACTTTCTTCATAAAGTTTGTACAACAAAAATTGCAAAGACAAAGTAAATACTACTTACTGCATCATATAAAGTTTATCTGAGGTACCGACAACTAAAATATGTTTTTTTTTTTATAAAAGTAGGTATCAAACCAGTAGAATTTTGAAGATACACCTCGACGTCACCATTTTGGACCGGTTGGAATATTTCCTTCACAATTTCATCCTGTCCGTCACTTGTATATCCGTATATCACGGAATCGTTTCTTAAGTCTGCCAATATAAACGATAGTCGGAGCCCTTCTGCTACATCCATTAAGGTTTACAAGCTAATATAAATTTTCGATTCTTCAGATGTCCCATTTGGTCGGACGAATCGTTATCGAGATGATGGAGAAACTCCTTTCACAAAAAACGAAATTATTTTTCTGACACGCATATGCTATACGAACAAAGGAAAATGGATTGGATGCAATACAGAGCGATGAGGGGGCGATTTTATGACATTTTCAAGTTACACGAAAAGTAGATAATGCTTCCCGGTCTTAGTTGGTAGGTATATTTAATGGTATATACTGTTCGCTTGTGTGGCTCACATTAGGAGAAAATAGACTTTGTTCCTAACCTAACGTACTGATCGCTTTGAAAGTACAAAGCGCCCTATATATTCTTAAACTAACCTACCATTATGGTTACGATGAGACTACCAATAAAAATTTATCAATCACTATCCATTCATTGTTTAAAAAATAAACAAGATGGAGGAGTAGAAATCCAAAACATTACATTGAAAGTAAGTGAAGCATTCAGAGTTTACGGCTTTATAGTTCGCAATTGTAGATCTTTTTCAAACATATCTGCTCTAACCGTCCGTTTCCTAAAGTTTATTCACTGCAGATCTTATGGTGCCTATCCTGATAGAGGTATTCTATGTACATTTTTAACTATAACATTCAATATTAGGCAGAAAACTTGCTGGAATAGTTTTTCTATATAAATTACTCTAGAGCAATGTGGATGCTTTGAAGGTGTTATCTCTTATGAATTTCTGTATGCTTCATTTTAGCAATAGAAGTACAAAAACTGTTTACTGCCGACTGGCCAGAACCAATTTGTACCCAAAGTCACCTATCTTTAGCATTTGCAATGATTTCAATTTGATTTCAAATTTGTGTGATATCATATACATTGTTTTTCATTTTTTCAAACTGTAACTTTGTAGTTATAAGCACCAATATTATTTTTTTTGCCATTCCAAGTTAACACTGTAATTGGTTTTCATAATAATCTCGCTGCTATCGTATTATGCCAAAAGAACCTGATTGTATACGATTCTCCCGCTTGTCTACAAACAATGTCCTGTTGGTGTATCTTTCTTGCAGATAAATTACGTAACAATAAATACATATTCCTTATTTGTAATAAAGACATAATGTATACATTCATGATGTAATTGCCAAACTAAAACAAACAATGCATATCCATTGGCTCATTGCCAAAATCTAATATTCATTTTGTCATTCAAATACAAAATATACAGATCAAGTCAATTATACATATAAAGGTGAAGTATTGAAGTTGAGGTTGGTGCATTCAAAAGTTGGATAACGCAGAGGACAGTTGCTGAAGTCTTCATTAAGGGTAGGTAGGTAGGTAGGTAGGTAGGTCTAAAGTGAGTGGGTCTATTTGACCCTCCACCGCAACCTACAAGGGTTTATTGTGACTCACACCTATTCACACTCGGCCAAATACACCCAGCTTCTCAACGAAGCCGATTAGTTTATATGGTGAGTGGTCTTTCAGGTCAGATGGTGAGAGTACGGATCTGCCGAATTCAAAGAACCTGATTCGGTCCCTAGCGGGGCAGGTACAAAGTATATTCTCTACTTTTTCATCATTTTCCAGACAGAGGCGACACCCACTGTCTTTCGACAGTCCAAGTATCTGCATATGATGATTCAAATGACAGTGACCTGCAAGAAGGCCTGTTAGACATCGTAGTTCATCCCTATTGTAGTCCAACACCTGTTTGGTATCAAGCTTCGAAGGGTGAATAAACGCCTCGGAGTGAGCCAATCCTGGAAGATTCGGCCAGAAGTCCATAAATCTTCTTGCCATCCAGGTGTTCAGTGTTTGTTTGGCAAAGCCCAATGCGATGCCAATGATAGGTTCTGGTCCAATGAAGCCGCTTGCAGCACCCTCCTTTGCAAGAGAGTCAGCAGCTTCATTGCCTATCATGCCAGTATGGCCAGGAATCCAGAACAGAGACGATGTGTTAAGTCAAGGGAGTCGAAACAGTAATCAATTAAGCATATTTTATTTCGTTAAATGCTTTTATTACTCTTCGATATGAAGCCATTCTATGCTTAGGTATTCTCACTAATTATTTCCATATATTTTTATAGTAGGGATTCATTGTAGCCATGCAAGTAGACCATAATTTGAAGATATCTGCGGTTCAATATCTTAATCGGGAAACACTATTGTGTACTTAGTATGTATCAACAGTTAATTAGTATACATTTTCGGTATATAACAACAACGCCCCTTTCCACATTAGCCCTTGACGATAAAACTGTAAAGGACATCTGACGAAATTAGTTCCACGACATTTACCCGGTCATTTTACAATAATAATTTCGACACATCCCATTAACGA